CGCCTGGTAGCGCACGGCCAGCGAGCACCTTCCCCTCCGCGCGGCGGCCGGCAGCGGGAACTGCCTGGCACGCACAGCCCGGCTGTATACAAGAGCAGGGCGCTAGAGCAACTTCTCTCCGTCATGGTACAGGGCCTAGCACCACGGAGCTTGCCGTGGCCTAGGTGCTATAGCAATACCTAGCTCACCACAACCCGCCCTGGACAGAGCCCTGGGTCACACACAAAGGCGTCCCTAACAATATGCAAAATACACAGCTGCATAGGGCACCATGAAAGTTGGGGCACTAAATTGCCCCAATGTTGTGGTGCCCTATGCAACTGCATGCTGCATATGTGGCATTGTAGGCTTTGGTGGCCAGCCCCATCCCTGGGCCAGCCCCCTTAACCTATGATCTGCTCCTGGCAGGAACAGCCTTAGTGCAGATGCGGGGCCCAGGACCACCCCCTTGCTCTTCCCCCCTTTCACTCCATTCCTTTCCCTAAGCTCCTCCCTGCTCTTCCCTCTCCCCCCCCCCTGCTTTCTTCCCCTGCTTTGCCCCCATTTCATCCTTAGCCCCCTCTCCACCATCACTCAGACTAGGCAATTACCAGTAGTAGAGGGCATGGCCCCAGCAGCAGGGGTCAGGCTTGCATCCACCCTGCACTCACCAGGACTAGATGTCAAGTTCATGCAGCCCTGAGGAAACAACACCGAGTTGCATGCCTTGGAGTGGCAGGAATTACAATGGTTACCTAATTCATTTCAGTAAAACTGATCTTCATATGTTCTATCTATAGGGTAAATTCAGGTCTGGTTTTGGAGGATGCTGCTCTGTTCAAGAAATTTACAGCAGGGTAGAATTTGGCCTTACCTCATACAAACACCTTGCAGCTGTTATTTTATAGATGTAATATGTCAGCTCTTCTCTTTGCTAAGTAATACTGTGTGTCTCATGCAGTAGAGCAGGGCTACTCAACTTTGGAAGCCCCAGGAGACACAATGACACAGCACAGGCCACAACATACATGCAAATATATACAAACAGCTTCTTTCACACTGACAGGCATGAATACAAAGATTAAGGCAAGACTACAAAAACAGGCCCATTTAAGTCAGTTCTGCTGATATTAATAAAATGCAATAGTCACCTGAAATGTTCATTTACTTTTAATAAGCAAGGATAGTCCAGAAATTTAACTACTAAAACATATATAAACAGAAGAACATTATAGTGACTACTTTTTTGTTTTGGCTCCCACCCGCGGACCATGTGTTGAGCCCTGCATAAACCCAAACCACACTGTGGGCCACAAACAAACAGGTCGCAGGCTGCATGTGGCCCACGGGCCGCATGTTGAGTAGTCCTGCAGTAGAGCATGCTATTGGCCTTGAGTATGTTTGAATGGTGTGATAGATAATCAGGACTTATTTCCTTAGTTTCCATCTAAATGAATGGACCTTTTGCAGAGGACTTAATGGAACTAAACCAAGATCCATTTTAGAATCATGAACCCTCTGATAGGCTTTAGAAGGAGATACAGCATAATAAAATATTACAACATAACAAGTTTGGGAATTAACAGCAGCTGGACTTTTAAATTACACCTGTACAAGCTACAGTTCTTCCAGTTAAGTATGTATCTTGTGACACAGCCTACATTTACTTTGGATTAGGTGATTGTTTATGAATAGGAACCATAGGACCCATGTTTTATACATTTTTATTCTATTTTCATTATTTGCACGGGGGAGGGGGCTTGTTATATGCAAAATACATTATGATGTCCACACTACAGTCTTAAGTCAGTCTAATGTAGATTTATAGCCACCTCAGTAATTACTGAAGGGGCTGATGTTCACACTACCTTCCTGCCAGTGGTGCATATCCTCACAAGGAGTGCTTCCACTGACTTTAAAGGGGCAGTATAGAGCGTTAAGAAAGAACCCGGGCACTCATTTCCACAGATGTCTCCGCACCCCCTCAGGGAGCTCATCCGACCAGACGCAAAGAGAAGCTGCTTGGGCTTCTCACTTAGCCTCCATTCTCATCTGAGAGAGATATTCCCTGTAAGCTGTGTGCTTGTGTGGCCACTCAGGAGAGATTCAGATGCCACCCAGTTGATTAGCGGAAAGCCCACAGCTAGGTTTTTCTTTGTACAGGTGGTGCACATTTGTGCATATCACTGCACATACAATTTATTCCATGCATACAGGGAGCATTAGGGGGGAGAAGGGAAGATACGTGAGGCTTCCTGCCTTCCTGCACTGAGATAGGAGCACGGAGCTCGCAAGCTCCTAATAGTGAGCCTGGCTTTGTCAGTTTCACAACTTATATACCTCTCAACCTAAGGGGGCTCATGTTCACTTAATTCTCTAATACAGACCAAGTCTAATGAACAAAAAGATGTAGAGATCATCTCACAAACCTTTGATACAGCACACATGAGAAACATCTAAAACTATAAACCTCTTATATTAACATATTCATCTAGTGTACTAGTTTTATTTTTCAAGTTCAAATCCAGGTAGTTATATCAGTGGAAAGAAATGACTTCAAAATTTGATTAGAGATAGGCACACTATAGGAAATTCCTCTAAGTCTCCATCTTTTTGAAAAACAGGTGACAAGATATTTAACTGAGGAGATTTCTTGGTCTTAAAAAAGCTGAGAATTCCTTGTTTTCTGTTCTACAGTGTCTCTCCCTTTGTCATTGCAATTTCATATTACAGCTGTCCTTTCAGGCAAAAAGTAAATGAGTCCACACCAGGGTTACTAGTGACAGTTACCTGGAGAGTTCACCATTAAGACAGGTGACAGTTCAAGGCAGTCTAGACTGAAGAAAGGACCAGGAAACTAGTCTCATCAGAAAAGGAAATGGAAAGTCCTCTGTTCTACCCATATAATTGATCAAGTTTGATTGTCTTCTTTAGAAGCCATCAAAGGTCAGCAAACATCCTGACAGGAATGTGTTGGTGCCACAGGTTGTGCCATTGCATCTATTGAAGCTCTTGCTAGGGAGCTTTACTTTAAAACACAATCCTAGTGTGGATGATCTCGGTCCTAAAGGCTCTGAGATCTTCCAGTCCGGTGAGAGATGTCCTTGATGCCAGAAACATCCTGAGGGTGGTTGAGGAGGCCTCAGAAACTTTTTAAGGAGTGGCCTCCTCCTTTCTACCCATGGGATCCTTAGGGTAGAACTCCCCTTCCAAGGGCACTTCCCTCAAACGCTATAATATCAATCATCCTGGAGCAAAGCAGGAAGAGGCTCCAAAGATGAGCTCACTGGCTCAGGGCTAAGTCCTGGAGAACAAAGAGGATAGATGTATGAGGGCACAAATACCCACCTACTTGATCTTAAGGGGTCCTTAGTGCCATGAGAAAAGATGACAATCATCCCCTTTCTCAATCTGACCAGGAGGCTAACAATGTGTCCTCACAGCCCTCCCACATGGAAAGGGACCTAGTACTTGGCAGTGGAGAATTCAAAGAGCAATCTTTTGAGAAGGTTTCCCAGGAAGACAAGTCCCAAAATGGTTCAACTCAGCTACTACATTCCCAAATTAGATAAGATATAAGAAAGGGGAAAGAGAAACAGCATCCAGAAGGTACAAGTTGCCAGACTCTTCCATCTGCTGATGAATATGAACTGTTGGACACTCAATAGAGCCAGGAAAATACATAGCAGCAATTTATTTTCTTTCTGAAAACTTTGAGATGATGTCTATGATTCAAATTCAACACCACTCAGAGGCACCTGAGAGGTAAGCCTCAGACTAAATTTCTTCCATCAAAATCCTCCCAGGGGCTGCAATACTCTCCACTCCTCCTTTGAGGAAATTAGCAGGGACAAATTAAACAAGCCTGAAAAAAGGTAAGCACAGTAACAAAAGCAATATCAGGCCCCACAAGACTGTGTTGAAATTGCTTTGCTGGGTGGGAATCCCACATACTTAATTCAAAGCCTCAGGACCTAATGCAGTTAGGATAAGCTCAGTGAGTGCAGGCTGGGCACATGTCAGCATCTGCCACACCTGGGAAGGCCACCTCACAAATAGAGTACTGCTTGGATTTAACCACATGCTTTTCAGCTGCTGTTATTCCTATATACAGGCAGAGACGTAGCGATGGAGATGCTGCCTGCAACTAAGTCTCAAGGAGGGTTAAATCACTCAAGTGGATCCACAGACAACAAAGAGGAGGAAGCTAAAAAGAAAAAAAAATCACCTCTTTCCTAAACAGGGTCAAAATTAAAGTAATACACAGGGCAAGAGCAATCAAATCCACAAATGACCACTGGCCCAGAGGCAGAGAATCTGGCAATATACAGAAGCAGAAGGGGTGTGGCCAGCGTGCACAGTGCTAAAATTTTCATCCACCTCCAGGAGCTGCAGAATGAAGAGAGATAGCCCAGATGTCCAGAATTGTTGGAGATTCTGGGATACAGAAAAATGCTAGCATCCTATTGCTAAGTATAAATAGCTACTTTTAAAGATACTTGCAGAGAAAGCTATAGCATCTTTGTCTTGTTTTGGCATCTTTATAATACATAAAGGAGACCAAAATACATCTGAACCCCAGCACCCACATACGAAAATTCAAATGTTTACCCTTTTTTTCCCCTAAGAAAACTCTGTGCAGGAATGGAGAAACAGCAGGATTAGGGTCTCAGGAACCAAAGAATTGAGACATGAACTACTGCAGGAATAAAATTTTTAATGTATTTAGAACTATTTGTTTCTGTTAATGCTTATTTAAAAAAAACACTGGGCACTTTTGAAAAATTACTCTATTAGATTCCACCCACTCTCTTCAATTAAGCACAGGAAACTCCCACTCCACCTCTCTGGTCCAAAAACAACTTCAATAAAACAAAGGGGGGGGGGGACACAACACATTCTTGATAATTCTATGGTAAAGGAGAAGAAAAAAATGGTAAAAAATTACCTCTATACAGGTCGATAATTCTATGGTAAAGGAGAAGAAAAAAAATGTTAAAAAATTACCTCTATACAGGACAAAAGAACAAAAAAGAACAAAAAGGAAAAGGAACACAGAACCACTTTCTTTCAACCGCAGAGCTGTAGATTTTAAAGATCATCGGTGATGGAAGAGCTATAATGAATGTATGGTTTAGAGTAGCCATTCTCAACTGGGGTACATTGAGACACAGAGGTCTTCCGGGGGTACATTGACTCATCTAGATATTTGCCTAGTTTTACAACAGGCTATATAAAAAGCCCAGTAAAGTCAGTACAAACAAATTTCACGCAAAATGAGAAAATGATTTTTAAGTAATAGGGATGTCAACATGTAGACGACTACGCAATTAAACAATAAGCCTCAGCTTGTTGGTTAATACTGTTGACAACATGCATTTCCTCCCCCCTTACTGCCTCTGTATCAGAGGTAGCAAGGGGGGAGGGGAAAGGAGGTGGGAGCCGGTGCCAGTGGGGAACCTGCTTTTAAGCTGGCTCCTCACGAGCAAAGGAACTGCCTGCCATCCCCACTCCAGTGCTGCTCTGATAGAGAAACAACAACAACACAGAGGGGGAGGTAGAAACCCCCCCCCCCCCCCCCAGCTCTGGCTATATGGTGCTGTCTGCCCCTCCCACAACACTGCTGCTTCTATTCAAGGCAGCATTGCGAGGGGTGGGGGAAACAGGGAAGGCTGCCATGAAGCAGCCTCTGTCTGGATACCCCGTAGGTCTAGCTCTCAGCCTTTCCAGACTACCTTTCAGGAGTCTGATTTATCTTGTGTACCCCAAGTTTCATCTCCCTTAAACTACTTGATTAAAAAAATCAGACAAAAATTCAAAAGTGCTGCAGCACACTATTACTGAATAAGGATGTTAGATAGCATGTAATTGAACAGTCATGTGACTGCATCAAATTTTAGCAGTCAAACAATTATTTGATGGTCCCCAAAGGTGGGGCCAGCAGCCAATGCTCCAGGCGCACTCCTGGGGAGCCTCCTGCCAGCCCACACTGCTGCCTCTGATACAGTATCAGAGGCAGGAGCATGGGATGGCAGGCAGGAATTAGTCTGTATGGGATGGCAGGCGACTGCCTGAGAGCCAGAGCATTGGCTAAAATCTGATGCAGTTACATGACTATTCAACTACACACTAACATTCCTGAACTTTCAAATTTTTATTTTTGGTTTTGTAAGCAAGTAGTTTTAAGGGAGATGAAACAGGAGTACATGAGTTAAATCAGACTCCTGAAAGGTAGTCTGGAAAGGCTGAGACCTAGAGTAGCATCTACCCACCTGCCAGGAAAGACCAATACTGTAGGTATGTACTAGGCAGATTACTGGCTGTTCCCCTAACCACCATAATGTTACAGAGCATTCAAAAGTTTGGGCTTTGGTATTCTTACAACACTGAAACTTTACTGGTTTCAGAGATCATTTTGATAAACATCATCGTAGATAACAGTCCTTTAATTTTCTCCACTGATCCACAAATTAATAGGAGAAATAAGATTTGAATTTCACTTAGTAATTTGAAGCTCAGAGAGATTGATAGAAAGGATTTTGGCAATTTGAAGACACGGGATCTTAGAAAGAAAGATCCCACAACAAATGCTGTAGGTAGTGCAAATGCATTTGTGCTACCAATTTCTGCTATTCAGTGGTGTATAATTCCAGTTGCTACCAAGTATGTTTTTAATGATCCTTTATTTAAAAAACAAGAAAATTTCAAGAAATGCTTTCATTGCAAAACAAAGTGAAATCCACAAAATAAATAAAAAAAGTTACAATATATTATTGAAATAAAAAGTCCAAAGATTTTTCCAATTAATGTTTCCATAAATTCAGCATTTTAATGGACAGCATTAAGGAAGTAATCATCTGATGTCTTGTCACACTTACAATAAAGTGAATGATTTTAAGAGTCTCAGAAGAGACGTAATAAACCCTGAGACACCAGGTGGATGAGAAGATACCTTTTCCTGGACCAACCTCTTCTGGTGGAAGGGAACAGATTAAGTTGGTGCCGGATAAGATATCACCTTCTCTAACTTATGTGTCTCATATCCTAGGATCATCACAGCTACATTACAAACAGTAATAAACCCTTTAACAAAAATATTTTTAAAACAATCTTTGTAAAAGTAGAAAACTAATTCAGAGGTAACTTTACATAAATCAGCCATTTGCAATAATCCAGAGCAGGCATTTTAGTTATGGTTCCACTATAGTTTTGTTCCAGTTTCACAAAAGTAAATTAAACAATAATATTTTAAAATGGTAACGTGTTTTATTTCTCTTGTATCATAAAAAGACTATAAACAAATTATTAAATTTTCCCCATTTATCTCCAGGATAGTACACTTAAAAAGTTTAAAAATTTTCCAGCATGTACTTACTATTTTATTGTGTTCCCAAAATTAGTTCAACAATAACTGAATTTCATAATAAATTCATTCTTAACCAGAGTTCCTGGATATCAGCCAACTGCTGAAATTGCTTTTCCCCAGTGCTAAAGTTAAAGAGGTTCATTTATGCATTACATTCTATCAGCTTTCATTAAGAACTGTGTAAACACCACCAATGGTCATATCCATTTTTATATCCTACAATTCTGTATCTCAAATTACCAGTTTTAGGCTTCTTCAGGAAAAAGCAGTACATTAGACAATACCAATATGGTCATGACAGTTCAGATACAGTAGAGTTCAGACAAACTTATAAACCAAGGCAACAATAAAAAAAAGAGAGTGTTCCTGTATCAAGAATCTTTTAACAATATGTTGAAGGTTCAAATTAAAATGCTTACAACAAATTTCAGCCTTATAGATCTAGTAATATGAACTAGAAGTAACCGTGTATTACAGGATTTTCACTGGAAAATGTTTGAAATGTGTCTTATTTAGTATTAAGTTTGAAATGGTGTAAAATGTTCAATTAACTTGTAAGGGAAGTACACAAAATGTAAGTCCTCTAAACCTGGATTTTTCATGACAGAATTACAAGGAAGTGACTTCTATCAGAACAATATTTATTATAAAGTTTTACACAAGCAGCCACGTACAGACAGTTCTCAAAGCCTCTTTTTGCCATAGCTTTAGACTGGGTAAAAATGGTTAAATATACTAAGGACTGGTCCTGCATGATTCTGAGCACTCCTGCAAGATGCTGCAAATCCTCAACTCCTGCAGTCTTCAAACAGGAGTTGAGTGTGCTCAGTGCCTTGCAAGATTGAATCCAAAAAGTTTGTTGGATTAATGCAATAAGAGCCACTATGATACACAGACTATTTAACAGCAGTTTTTAACATAGGGATGGGGGCAGCAGCAAATCTTCCTACTCATTCACAGGGTCCTTATGCCATTCACTTAAATTTGGCCTGGTCATTCTTCTTTCATGACAAATGGGAGGGTAAAGCCAAATTTGAGCAAGTGGCATTATGGCCATATGACTGAGCAACACTGTGACCTGACACACAGGATTGCAGCCACACAAATTTGACTTGACCACGCCTCCATCTTAACATAGTGTCATCTGGGTCAAATTTGAGTAAGTGGTGTTGTGACCTGACATACAGGGTTGCAGTGTCCACTAGCATTCTTCAGTGCTGACACTGAGAAATACTGCCCTGAAAACTTTGTGGGTATTAAGGTTTATGCTTTAAAGGGTTCCCTATTCTATGCACAATTATTCCGTTGATCTTGTGGTCTTAAAGTAGCATCTCCTCTATTAGAATCAATATATTAATAGCTCTAGTTCCGTCTTGATTATACTGGAAAATTCTGTTTTTAAAACAAGGCTTCAAGTATTTAAAAAAAACAAACAAACAAAAAAACACCACACACACCACACTTTAGGGGCCCCTAGCTCAGGAGAAGTTGAGAACTCCGCAGTATATCATCTCCCTTTCCTGTTTTATCAGGACTCAAGATCACCACCCTTCAGTTATATATTTATATCACAGTTATATATGTATATCATATTTCAGATCACTGGACTGTTTGTAATATTGCATTGTAGTTTCATAAAGCTACATTGAAAGCTACCTGAAAACAATGTTACAAAAAATTGCTATTGATACTTCATAAAATTTGATAGTAAGCTAATCAACTTGAGTACTAGCTAAGAAGTAGTATTTGAGCAAAGTGAGACACTGTAATTGTTAATTTAAAAAGGGAAAACGTTTAAATGCTTGTGAAAGGGAATTGGACTGATAGTACTAGAATAAAAAAACCAAACTCGTTACTAAATGGATCCAAGAACATTCCTACACTGCCCAAACAATGAACCTCAACTCTGTTCTGCAGACACATCTAGAAACATAGCATAACTTTGAGTTTACACGAGCCTTCAATCCTTCAGCTCTTTGCTGTGACTGCCAAACAAGAGGGCCTGATATTTGACATCAGCACTGAACTACTAAGAGAGGTTCTGAGACCAACAACTTCTTTGGCTGAGATCCTTATCATAGCTGGCAAACAACAACTTTTGAACACTGCAACCCAGAAACTGATTCAGATTAATGAGCTAGATGTGCACATGGTCAAGGATCATTCTGCTCCCTACATGTGCTGTGGAAAAGTCTATTTATTGGTGCAATAAAACATCTAGTGACTAAGAGAAAAATTAACCATTTACATTATGCAAAGTTTCTACATAAAAGTACCTAGCATGTGCATCACTTAACTTACTACTCAATATTTAAATGAGTAGCAAGTTATCACCACGTCAAATGAAATCTGTGCACATCTAGATCTTAATAAAATATAGCTACCATTTATGATCTCTGGTGTTATATTTTTCCCCTTCAAAATAGCAATTTATTCCTCTTTATGAGAGAAAAAAGGATCATTTAGCAATCTGCCACTCAAATGTATAACTGCAGCATTTCCAATTAAAGCATGAGTACAGCACAAGATATTCCTTCATTTAATAGACCAGCCATTGCAAGTAATAATGTACTGACTTTATGTAAAATACATTTCAAATACATTACTTCGTTGTACTATTGATGCTGCTTTCAGTTTTACTTTTAAATTGCAAAGTTGCTCTGATGATTTAGTTACTTCAATTACAAAATATTTTAGTAATAAGAATCACCTTGGCACAGACACATACAATAATACAGAATTGCAAAAGGAGCGTCAGCTGTAAAATGTCTGCACTTAGTTGTATATATTCTGCAGTTCATAATTTTTTGTATGCAGACAAAAAATAAAAATGATATTCAAATCATAAGAGGTTTTTGTTCATGGCTGAAAACTGACAATTGCTGTCACGTTGTTAAAGCCTTGTATGACCTGTTTACACCTACCCAGCAGACAGCAATGGTTTGATTTTTAATTTTGTACTATAAGGAATTAGATATTAACCTACCTTTAAAAGGTAAGTTTAATATTCAGTTGAAGTAATGATCTGTGACATACATTGAACAAAATACACAAGTGTTTTTTCACTGGATATGCAGCATGTTGTGAATCCCTAAGGCACTCAAGAAGCTAATTCATTTGATAATGAATGCAGCACATACAACTCAATTAGAAAGTACCTACCTGTTTCTGAGTTTTTGAAGGAATTATTGAGATAATGCCACGTGTTATTTGGTACAGTTAAAAAAAATATTCCTTGATGGGTTAATTGCCTAATGTAATAAGCAATTTTATCATCACCACACATGAGGGATGTGGTAGTGCACTCTGTTAACCCTCATGGTTACATGCAAGGCTCTCCCCATCCCGCCGTCTCTGTATCAGAGGTGTGGCAGGGCAGGTGGGAGCTGGTGCCCACAGGAGCCGGCTTTTCAGCAGCAGTGCAGAGATGGGCGGGGGGAGTGTCTCTGTTTAAAAGCCAGCTACCCACAAGCACTAGCTCCAGCTTGCTCCCGTCCCCCCCACCTGTGTTAGAGGTAACAGCGCGGGAGGGGAAGGGGCTCAGCAGGAGCCATCTTAAAAGCCAGCTCCCTTCGGGTGCCAGCTCCCATGGAGCTTCTGCCCTCTCCCATGTGTAAACATTAAAATTTCAGAGGGTACACGTTTACAAAAGACATGGTTTTTAACTTCCCTACCACATACTACATCTTTCAAGATCACCCAATGTCTTTTGTTCACCCTTCTCTTTGGACTGTACATACATGTTTAGGACTTCTCACTCATTTCCTAATCTGTATGTTCCAATTCTCACATAATACAAGAACTACACAGCCAGTCACTTCTCTCCTTCACAAATGCAAACAGAACCCAATAAGGATTATGCCAGCTTTTATTATTTTGAAGCTTAGCTTTTAACACGACAAAAGCTTCAACACTCGATCTGATCCTTCGACACTCATGGCTTACCAAGGACATTGTTCAACACTTGTACCATGAATCCCACCTCATACTAGTTTTACCGCAAAAAGTATTTCATAAAGTGAATCAACATAGTGCCCTTAAATGAGACAATAAATTAAAAAGCATGACTTTCAATTTATAAAAAAATACGTTTCTTATAAATCTTTAAAGTTTATAAGAGCCAGAAAATACATTTAAAATAGGCTTTTAAACACAGTTTCATCCATTGAAGTGTGATTATGGTCAGGAAAGTGTTAAGAAATGACATATGTGTCCTACATTTATTCTTCCTCAATCAGTGTTATTTATATATGCTTAGTTTATAAGTTACATTGATACTTTTTTAATGACAGCACTCCCAAGATCGACTTGCTAATTGATCAAGCCAAACAGTTTCTGCTTAAACTTTGTCTAAAAGAGAACACAGAATTTAGATGAAAATGCTGATTGAGATATTTTATATATGGAACAGTTTGCTCTTCTATAGCTACAGCACTGCAATTTAAGTGTTATTTGTCTAAACAGATAAAAGCAGCTATGAGTCTCAAGGTATTGGACAGGACATAGATCTGTAGTACAAATATGCCATTTTTGAGAATTACTTTTCTGACCTTAACTAGATTTTCACACAGGGCAAATGGTATTGCATACACAAATGCCACTTTCAGTGGCCTTAGTTTTTCCAGCCATTTGGCATTTTAAAAATATGTCTACTCCTGTTTATTGAGTATGAAATGTCTCTGCACTAAAACTAAGCTCTAACAACCCCCCTAGTCCAATCTAGTATTTAAATTACATCAGTTGGTCCTCTTGCACTTCCATGAAGATGGTTTTTCATCCTGCAGCTTTTTAAATTTTGGCCCAAGAAGGAACCACCAGATAAATCCCAGAGCAACGCATATTATGGATTCAACATAATAACCATCCAGCGTCGTAACACAAGAGCCACCAAGTTTTGTACAGAGCTGTGAGAGAAGCAAAAATAATTAAACAATTGAAATACACAGTATTTCTTTACAGTGAGAATAAAGTGCTTAGCATTTATATACAGAAAGGACTTCAGCTGTTATCTAACTATATTTTATATAAGCACACCTTTTAGATTCCCAGTTGGGGAAAAAAAAGGCAGGCTTTCCTGGTTTATTGTAAAGCTAATCAAATAGGCTTTCACACTTCCTAACAAAAAAGCAAAAAATCCAACCAAACAAAAATCCCCAAAACTATGTAGAAAGCAAACAGACAGCACTATGGAGTTATAAGTGAGATGTTATCCCACATGGTTGCCTTTTCCCTTTGGAATGTGAAAGGCTAACTGGTTAACATTAGCCCACTACCCCTTTAATTAACTGGTTGCACATTACATTTAATCAGATAAACCAATTGAACAGGACTTTACATACCTATTTTCCCCTTCCATATCCTCCTCCCAACCCTCCCAAGAAAAATTGGATGGGATCACCACAGGGAGACTAATCATGCTCATTCTCTCCTATTGGATGGTCAACAACCCTGCAGAATTTATGAACTAATATCTCACCTTCAGTGTTCCGTCTAATTTTTCCCAGTGAGCGGAATGAATTTTCTTATGTGCACCAATGTAGAGAATGCATGCAGCACATCACCTTCATATTGGCATACACAACTCTAATGTGGCGGGGACTCAGGCCTGGGGTAGAGGAATGTCAATGTGGGGGCTCTGGTTGGGGATGCAAGGTTTGATGAGCAGGCTGCCCCCAAGGAGAGAGAACTATCCCCAGCTCTCCCACTGCAGCAGCTTGGAGCCAGGTGAAAGACACCTCTATATGACCCTGGCAGCTCCAGCAGGTACAGCCAGGGCAGAGATGCCTATCTCCTGGTTGGGAAAGGTCCAGATTTGCTTGGTACAGGCCACAGAAGGGCCATTTCCTCCCCAAGCAGTGGCAGCTTTGGGCTGGGTATCAAGGCTGGGGGAGAGGCACCTCTTCCCCTAACCCAAGCAAGGAGCTGCCATGGCCAGGAAGGAGAGTCAGGGAGAGGCAGTCCCCACCAGCCTGCATGGAGCTGCTGCTGATGGGCAGAGGTGGCACTCTGTACTTTGGCCCTAAGCCCCTTCATGGGTCTTGTTAAGCAACTGTGCGGCCTCCTGGTCATGCAGTTTAAAAGGAACTTAATTCACCTAGGTGCTTTTGAAGATGAGAGCATATGGGTTTGGGGCATGAATGAGCAAATACTGGCCTGCAGGCTGGATCCAGACCACCAAAATAAGCTCCTGGCAGGCTCCCACCCCTGCATTTATCAGCACGGCCACAAGTACTGGTGATTTCAGCCCCCATTGGCCGTGGATTGCTGTTCCCAGCTAAAAGCAGTGTTCAGGTCTGTGCCACTTCCCTCAGCTCCCATTGGCTAGGAAGGGTTATCCATGGCCAATGGGGGCTGTGACTGCCAGTACCTATGTTCATGCAAGTAAATACAGTGGCAGTGGTCCACCAGGGGCTAACCCTGGCAAACTTTGTCATGTATTTGCCCACCCCTGATCTGGGGGAAATCAATTCAGTTCCCAAACCCTCTCCCACCAAAACCAACGTCTAGCTTGTGCACTGCATAAAGATGGAAAAATTGCAAACAGTATTCTGAAACCCACGAAAACTGTTCATGTTTCTATATTTCAGAAGCCAAGATTAATTTTTAAAAGTCAGGCCCATGCATTATATTATACTACAGGCCTCTCATATAGTCTGCAGCTACATACATTATGTATTCATTTTGTCTACAGCTATTGTAGGTCTAGCCATATATACTAATGGAGCACTTCTTTCCTTCCATTTGCCCATTATGTGTTTATAGTGCAAATTCATCACAGTCACTATGCATTTAACAGGAATAAGAAAGTAGTACAAGTTTCTCTGAAGAAGTGCCTTGACCAGCACCACATGGACAGAGAAGCAATACAACTGGGGGAAAACCTGGAGAAAGACTGGAGAAGAAAGAGGCTCACTCACTTACTTCAGGGAGAAGGGCAAGAAGATGGGAGATCTAATTCGTAACAGAAGTGAAAAGAGGTATACTTAGGAAGCATAGATTTACCAGGACCGGAATCAAAATTTTTCCAGGATGGAGAGTTGCTCTGGTTCAAAGAAATCCTATTGTTTAGATCTAATATTTATATCCCTAGAATGCTTTGTAGGAGCACACTGGTTGCACAATCTGAACAGAATTCTAGTTTAGAGATGTAAGCAATTAGTCGACTATTTGATAAGCAAAAGCTTGTCGGATAGTCGACTAGTCCCTTGACTAGTCGCTTCTCTCCCCCTTCCCTTGCTGACAGAGGCAGCAAGGGAGGTGAGCTGCTGCTGGGGGAAGCTGGCTTAAAAGCCAGTTCCCCCCAGCACTGTCTCCACAGGAGACAGAGGAGGCAGGGAGCAGTGGGACCAGGCGCGAGATGGGAATGAGCTGATTCCTGGCTCACGCCCAGTCTCAGACACTGTGCCTCCTCTTTTTAAATGTATTAAGAGCCAACAGGGTCTGACTTTTAAAAATCAGAAGCGCAGCAGCAATGGCGGATATAGGGCAGGGTGAGCAGGGCGGTTGTCCCAGGCCCCACGCTCAGGGGCGGACTGGCCTGCCGGGATACCGTGCTTTAAATTCCCCAGCGCCACACGCTGGAGGAGTGCATGTGCGGCATGCTGAAACATCGCGCAACACAGGAGAGAGAGATGAGATGTGAGGTGAGAGGGGCCCCACGAAATTGTGCTGCCCTGGGCCCTGCAAAACCCTCATCTGCCCCTGCACAGCAGGGGGGACCCGGCCTGAGCTGGGATAGCTGATTCTTGGCTCTGGCTGGGTCCCCCCAGCCTCACTTTAGCCTTTTAAATGTACTAAGAGCCGGTCATCTCTTAATACATTTAAGAAGCTAAAGCGCAGCAGGGGGGACCCAGCACGAGCCGGGACAACTGATTCCCATCTTGCACCGGGTCCCCCATTGCTGCGCACCAGCCTTTTAACTGTATCAAGAGCGAATAGGTTTTAATACATTTAAAAGGCAGAGCCACAGTGAGGTTAGCTCCTCTGCTTACCATCAACTACTTGATTAAACTAAATTTAACATCCCTATTCTAGTTACATTCCCTATTCTAGTGCATTCTTTGGTGAAGTTTGAACTGTGAGGAAAAACAAAATAAAACAAAGGGTTTAACTAAAGCAAGTGCATTACAAGATGCCAGTTATTTCTTGCTTTAGCAAACCGTGAACTTGAAGCCCTCTTCCCCTCCTGCCAAGTTCTTAAGTTGGGCTTGTGCTGTTTTGCTCAATTCCATGTGCAGTACCACAGCATGTTTTATTCTACAAGAACATCCATAAGAGCATTTAAGAGAGTGGGACTTTAGCTAATTTCACTATACTAGAAGCAGCGAAACCACATGAAGAAGAAGAGATGACCGAAAAACCACTGAGGAGGAAAGAGTAAAACAATACACGGGGAGTGATGGAGAATTATCCTGCCGAAAAACAAAACAAAACAAAACAAAACTCTCCCCCCTCCCCCCCCCAAAGCATCTATTATTCCAAAATAAGGTGGTTTAAAAAGAAACCCAACAACTTTGTCTACCCAGGCTTGAGGGTGAAACTACATCCTTAGTTCTTCTGCTAATCCAATCCTGGTTTAAAAAGAAACCCAACAACTTTGTCCACCCAGGCTTGAGGATGAAACTACATCCTTTGTAGTTCTTCTGCTAATTCAATCCTATATCACATCCCTGAGAAATCAAATACTCCTTTCCCCACATACATCCCTACTGCCCCACTTCTTCCCTCCACTCCACCAATTAAAAGAAAGTAAAGATCCTGAAGATATGTATTTCCAACAAGAGCATAAAAAAATCCAACTTCATATTAATGGAAGTTTAATATAAAAAGCAACTGCACAGGAAACATTTTTAAGGCCTTCAAGTGTGGAGGACACAGTAAGAGATACCAAGTTACACCATTTAAACATCAGAATGGAGACCATCACATTTTCCAAACTTACTTCCGCAGCAGCTGTAGTTCCACAATTCTGTTCCTCTGCACCTACACATTCTTTCACTGTAAGTGGATCCACAAGCCAAAGAGCTACTGTAGCAGGCCAGTTTCCTCCCAAATTTGACACAGTGTTTAGAAGAGTCATATACGTTCCTCCAATCAGTGGATCACTAACTTTGGCATTGAAAGCCATTATAGCAACATACATGCTGTACAACGTAATCTGATGGGAAGAGGGGAAATAATAATTGAATCCATTTCTGTTAACTGTTTTTATCTGAAAACAAATTACTTGAAATATAGTAACATTTATTTTATATTATTGCAGTTCCTCCAGAGATCTGTGCAGTTAATCACTAAAAGTGGTCCGAGTTTGGCTACATTCAACAAAGGGAGAAAATCTTGCCATTTGCACTGGCTTATATAGATGGACCTAGCTTCAGATAGTTTGGAATTACTCAGATTAAATATGCTTCACTAAAAATAGGGTTGTCAGATTGTTTCAAGACACTTCACAAACACCAGTCCTGATTCAAAGCCCACTGAATCAACAGGCTTTGTATTAAACCCATTATACTATTCCTGACAGCCAATATAATATTTTATAAGCTCTTTAGGGAAGGAATCTCATACAAATTTTTGTGTACTTGTATAGAATTACATGAACATATTGAGAAGACTCAAAGGCAATTAGGGAGATTCAGCTAGCTCCCATAAAAAATGGGTTTCTTTAGCTCATTCAGAAAAATAATTTCTAGAGGAAAAAAAGCTCAGCTAGTGAATAAAAGTATGGCAGGAAATCTCTGATCACTACACTAAATCAAAAAGAAATCCTGTGAGCACGCTGACTAACAAAGTTATAGCACAGAGTTAAATAAATAGGACTAAAAATGGAATTAATTGAACAACAAACCCCACACAGTAGAACATATCCATCTCCCACTATAAGATCTCCAGTATAAGTAAGATGAGGAAAAAGCCAGATAGTTATCTTTTTACAAGAGAGTGAGTTATAAAGACTTTTTTTCTGCAGGGGATAGGAATGGACTATATTTATATATATTACAACAAAATGAAGCAACTTGTTACCTGATGTAAAGCGTAACTCAGCAATACCACAATATAGTAATAGATAGGAAATCCTCCTTCATGGTGCACATTAGGAGTCCACCAAACCAAAAAAGCAAATTCCAAGCCTATCAATAACCTGTAACAAAAAGTCAAAATTTAATTCCAGCTTCTGAATTCAAATGTGGGTGTGAATCAGTGCACATCTTACAAAATCTACTGCATTCGTGTGTGAGCAAAGATGCTTTTCAAAATGGTTAGCGATGTGAATAAGTTTCTGAATCATTATAATCAAAACTTAGAGTTGTTTTGATATTTCAAAGACAGACAGACACCAACTGTTTTTAATTCATTTGAATACTTAAGCAACAGAAGTTTTAAACATTTCATACTAAGGACTTGTCTTCATTACATAGTAGGGATGTAAGCTATCTTGTAACTGAATTGTCATGTAACCTCATGAAATTATAGCAGTTACTAGGGATGTAAGTGGCTAGTCAAGTGACTACTTGCTTCCTCCCCTGAGGCAGCAGTGGAGGAGTGTGGGAGGGAGAAACAGAAGCCAGTGCTGGAGGGAGCCAGTTTAAAAGCCTTTTGCCCCAGCACCATCTCCACAGTGTGTGAAGTGGAGAGGAGGCTGAGCCGCAGCTTGCACCGGCCCCATGAGCTACCCACACTGTGGCTTTGCACTTTACATGTAGTTAAAATGCATTTAAAATGCAGAGATGCAGCAGTCCTGAAGCAGGCATGAGCCGGGACAGAGCGCCTCCCCTTATCAACTAATTGTGTAGTTGATACAAATCGTATTGACTACACGATTAGCCAAATTCCCCGCTTCTTACATCCTTAGCGGTTACATGACTATTTGATAGTCCCCGGGGGCGGGACCAGCAGCCAGTGCATTTTGGCCCCACTCCTGGGGAGCCCCTTCCCATCCCGCACCGCTCCTCTCGGATAGAGGCAGCAGCGCAGAGTAGCATACAGGAGCTGGTCTGTGAGGGGAGCCAGTTTAAAGACCAGCTCTCCTCCTGGACTGGCTGCCTGCCACCCTGTGCTGCCGCCTCTGAGACAGAGGCAACAGTGTGTGAGTAGCTTAGCCCATGTCCATGGGGAGGGGGTCTGAGCTTCCCACAGACAAGGGCTGCTGCGCAAAGCAGACTTTGCTTGCAGTGGGCCCAGGCTCACTGCAGACAGAGGCTGCTCCATATGATGCGGAATAGCCTCTGTCTGAAGGGAGTTTTGACCCCCCCCCCCGCCACGGACAAAGGCTGCTTTGCATCAGGCTCCCCTGCCCTTCCTCCTCTACCCCTGGGCTCTTGCTTCTGATAGAGGCAGTAGTGGGGATCGGGCGGAGGGGGGGGAAGGAATAACTATCTTTTAAGCTGGCTTCCCGCCCAGCACTGGCTCTTGCCTGCCCCCCTCGCTGCCTCTGTAGGCAGGTCCGTGGGAGCAGATACACATGGGGAGCTGGTTTGAAAGCCGGGTCCCTGGGCATATCGGTTCCAGCCTGCCCTCTCACCCTCTGCACTGGTGCCTCATAAAGCAGCAGCCGCACTTTTCTGACAACTCTTGGAAGGAGAACAGTTCTCACAAAATTGTGGTGGAAATCTCCAGAAATGGCTCTTTCCATTTTCAAATGCCCATTAGTTTCAGAAGTTTTCTTTTGGATGAAAACAGCTACAACTCAAAATTGAGTAAATTTTTTTTTTTTTTAAATTAGAACAAAAACTAAGACCCTTACCTAACTTATGTAAGAGCAAAATATATTTTTTTTTTTAAACTGCAGGAAAAAAGACTTTTGGATCTCTGTGTCCTGAAAAAATGACTGAAATGTATATACAGCAAGCAATTTTTAATTTATGAATTTACTGAATTATGCAATATTGAGTTAGCTTTATAGATGAGGTTTTGTGCTGTTGCATTATTGTGGAAGTGCACTTGTTTGATTCTGCTGCAATTATGGAAGTGCACAGTGAAATCAGTAGAATCTAATTCCCTTTTTCTAAAATCTAAACTATATTCAAGACTAGACTGCAGTGTGACAATTTTAGACATTGAGACACAAAATGCAAATATGTTTCTCATCCTTGATGCCCCTATATTGCATAAAAAGGCGTATTACCACTTCCCTTATTCTCACAACTGAACCCAGTGAAGAATATGGGACTATTAGAGCATGAGTATATCAAATAGGATTCAGCAGATGAAATATTTTGGATTGCTAGTTATGAGCCAGATTTTGACACCCTTAAATTGAGAAGTACTTTGCTATACAAATGCTCCCACTAACTTTAGTGGGAAACTAATTGCAGAGCAAGGTACTACTCTAGTAAAGGTGGAAGACTATCACCTGGTATTGTCACATGTATATGCTGCTTAAAGTAAAAAGAAGCACAATTGTGCTCTCAAGTACACATGCCCAAAAGTAGTTTGCTTCCACAGAAATTTCACAGACATTATGGAGGGAAAAATTGGGCCATGTAAATGAAATGTAGGCAAGTTTACTAAGAGACTCTTAAACTTAAGTATTTCTTTATGTCTGTCTATTTGCAAAGTACAACCTTAACATCATATAATTTTTATTTAATACATTCAAAGATTTTTATGTCTATAAAATATATATATTTTTACCTAAAAGGCATGGCTTTGTAAAATATATTCAGTGGCTGTGGACCTGCAGTGTATTTGCTGATGATCAGAGGCAGTATTATCTGTAAAGGTACCATTGGAACAGCTAATAGAGCTAAGTGTTCTTTAGGTACTCCTTCTTCCACCAATTTAAGTCCTGTTACTGCATCAGCTGCCGAGAAGCCAACCTGAAATGTAAGTTATAAAGAGACTAAAAATCTGAACGCCAATGACAAACTTGGCTATACCGAAATTAAATTTCTTTATATATTAATATGGAATAGTTTGTAGTTAAATTTAAACTACAATTTGCTTTTTTCCTAACGTTTACTCCCAAATATAGGTCCAATCCTGCTGCAAATTCTGCATGGGAGAATTCCTTCCTGCGCTTGCATATAGTTCATTGTAGTATCAAGACCATACTGAGAAAGTAAAAAGTAGCAACAAATCTCACTGTTCCTGAAATGCTGCAGGTATGAAGAATGAAGAATCAATATAAAATTACCACATTTTACCCAGGGTTGCACGGGTCTTTAACCCAATTAATGTTTGTTTTTAGGAAAGTAACAAATGAAAAATGTCCATGCTTCATTTGAATTGCTCTGGGGTGGGACTGGGGATGAGGAGTTCAGTATGCAGGCTGCTGTGGGAGGCACCGACAACCTCAGCCATCTCTCACCGCAACAGATTGGGCCTTCAGTATGCAGGCTGCTGTGGGAGGCACGGACAACCTCAGCCATCTCTCACCGCAGCAGATTGGGCCCAGGTGAGAAGTACCTCTTCATGACTGCTCAGCTCCACTGGGCACAGCCAGGGGAGAGAATGTATGTCCCCCAGTTGGGACAGGTCCAATTTCATCTGTCCCCAGACAGAGTGAGGAATTCAGCAAACTGTATACTTTCTCCTTGCTCCCTGACAAATGGGAACAGTCAGCAATGTTCCCATATAAATTGGGAGGTGGCAGGGGAAAAGGAGAAAGCTTCAACCCCACTCCGCAAAGGGCACCTGGGGGTAGGAGGCACAGGGTTGGGGCAGTCTCAACTGGAGGTGGATGCTCCCACCATGATTCTGTCCCTTTTCTGTATGTGAAACAATCCTGTTCCGGGCACATCCTATCACAAACAAACCCTTATCTTGCTTTAAATTATGATAAGAGAGAGCCATATACCAAATTTGGTGGTACTAGCTCTTGCGGTTTAGGAAGAGTTCTAGAACAGACAATTTGGTGGTACTAGCTCTTGTGGTTTAGGAAGAGTTCTAGAACAGATAGACATACTGACAGACAGACTCACAAACTCTAAAATATATAGTAGATGGAAACCTACATTGGAAAATTTTGTTTGCTATAGAAATTAAATCTACAGTGCCACAGAATCCCAAAGACCCTGCAAATACCTATATATTCTCCAAATTGGATTTCACAAAGACAAATTATAGAAAACATGTAGCCTTGATACACGGAGGTACAATCAGATGTACACACACACACACACACACACACACACCTCAAAGAAAACCTGTTGTAACTATTTTTTTTAAAGTATTTTACATATTTTAAACAATGTACCTAATCCTTATCAAAACATTAACAGGAGGATTAGATGCAAGTTTTTGTACAAACACATTATATAATTCATAATTATAATAATTATGCACCCTTTAGTTAAAATGCAATGTGAAAACAGTGAAACAAAAAATCACTTTTCTGCTATGATAGATGAATATAGTTTATAAACATGCCCTACATACTATCAATTACTATTACATATATTTACTCACTTTTGCTGTTAAAATCAGGATACAGAAAGTAAGAACTGCCGGCATTTTGATTATTGACAAAAGCAGTTTGTATGTATCAGTGATGCCTTTTGTTTCTTCTTTTGATGGTGCTACTTCCTTGTTTTCCTTTTTCAAGAGGGCAACTAAAGTGGTAGTTACCAAGAAGACAGCTCCCCAGAAAAATAGGAAATCTGAAATTAAATTACCTCATCAGAATTCAAATATATATACCGCTGTCTACATTTTATTAATTAATGCTCAGTATGGTAAAATGTATTTATTCTTCAAGAATATTCATTAGTGGTGGGCAACCTGCAGCTGTGAGATAAGTTTGTTTATAGTGACTGCCTGCAGGCAGGGCCTCTCAAAGCTCCCAGTGACCACTGTTCACCAATCCAGGCCAATGAGACCCGCAGGAAGCCTGTTTCTAAGGCTTTGTCTACACAGCAGTGTTATTTTGGAATTACTGATGTTATTTCAAAATAACAGAGCGTGTCTACACTGCAAGCCATTATTTTGAAATAATGGCAAGCTGGAGGACTTTTTACTCTGACTCATGGTAACCCTCATTTTACAAGGAGTAAGGTAAGTTGAAGGAAGAGTGTTCTTCGTTCAACTTCCTGCTGTGTAGACAGCACCAAAAGCTGAATTAAGCTATTTTAACTTCAGCTACATAATTGACGTAGCTCAAGTTGCGTAGCTCAATTTATTATTTGCCCTGCTGTGTCGATCTGCCCTAAGAGAGTACATACATGAATTACACTTAGAGACAGTATTCCATGATAAAAAGTTCAGTGAACATACTGAGGCGATTAAGCAGTTATTACTCTAATCACCCTTATGAATCCTATTCTATAGTCATTAAAATAATGCCCAACAAATAAATGATTTTAAAGGTTCTTTGCTAGTGCTAATACTTAAGACATTATTATACTTAACTGGAGGTAATCAATGAAAAAAGTGTTATTTCTAAATCTAAATTATAGTGTAAATTTTATATCTCAATGTTAAATTGCCCCAGCTCAAATGACCAACTGTATTAAGGTAATATTCCTATCCTCCCCTCCCCCCATCATCCAGTTTAGCACAAGGACACGTTGAACAGGTTAGGTTATTTTCTTAATGAATGTTTACATAATAGTTCAGATCCCTTTTGTAAATAATACTGTTCACGTAAACTGATGTTACCTGAACATTTCAGGTATGCGGACCACATTTGAACCTTCTTAGTAAAGCAGGAACACACACCCTTTTCTGGCAACTCTTAGTAGGAGAACAGTTGTCACAAAATCGTGGTGAAAGGAGCAAGAAAGTGTCAGAACTAGGGATGTAATAGTGCAGTCAATTAACCGATAAGCAAATGCTTATAGGTTAATGCTATAGACTACACACATTTCCCTACCCACACTCCAGCAGTAATTTTTTTATCAGGCTGGCCAACACGCTAGCTCAGCCCTGGCTTGCAACAGGTCTGGGATCTACTACCACTGCAGCTCTGCATTTAAAGTGTATTAGAAGCCAGGTGGGCAGGCAGCCCAGTTCAGTTCCGGCTCACACCAGGTCTGGGAGCTCACACCCCCCCACACAGGGGCTGCTGCCACTCCGCACTGCTGACTCTATATCAGAGGTAGCAGCATAGGGCGACAGGCAGCCAGTCTGTGAGGAGGCGGCTGTGACCTGGGGCAATGGACTGGAGTGCAGGGAGTTGGATTGTGACCTAGGACAGGGAATTGAGGTACAGAAGAGGGTGCAGGGATTGGGGTGCAAGGTTTTGAGTTGTGAGCTAGGGCAGGAGGAGACTGAACTGGGGCAGGGGATTGGGGTGCCGGATCTGAAAGGCGATACAGGTGCAAGAAGGGGGCAGAGTATGTGGAGTAGTGGGCAAGAGTGGGGGGTCAGAGATTTGGGGAAGGGAGGGACTCGGGTGCCAGAGACAGGCTCTGACCACAAGACTTAGCAGCCCAGCAGTTTCTCATGCAGGCAGACAAGGACCCTAGGCTGCAGCCATGTGCTTTGTGAATAACTATGAGCCCCAGAGGGGAGGGGGCATGGTGCTTAATGACTGCCTGTTATTCAAACAAGTAGCTTCCATTGGCCAGTTTCTGGTCAGAAACTGGCCAATGGGATTGTACTGGGGGCAGGAATAGCATTTGAAGCCTTTTCCCCTCCCCTCCGGGCTCAAGAGTTTTTAAAGAAAAAATGCCCCACAGCCACGTTTCTCAGCAGTGTGCAGATGGGGCAAGGCAAACAGGGAACCTGCCTGGGGCTCCCCGCAGCATCTGTGGGCTGGATCTGTTGGCTTGGCAGGGCAGATGCAGCCTGCATTTTTCCCACACCAGATTTAAACAGACACCACAAGCCTCTGTTAACTCTAAAATGGGAAGCCCACCCCTAGAGGGAAGAGGAGGGAGTTCAGTTACTTTAATCTCCAACTCGAATAGCCAACCAATGTTAAAAGTTTAGTTGACTACTGACCATAGCCACCAGTAGAGACCCAGAAACATTCCCTGTTCTGATTCTCTTAGCTATCCAAGTCCCATGGAACATTTAGTTGCCAATGCTCACAACATATATGACACACCTTGGCATGGTGTGGTGGGCCCAGCAACAGGCTGGTTAAACATATAGTTTAATCAGTTAACATTTAAAATGGGATACATCCCTAACATGAAACAGAGCCTATTGACCGGACAGTGTGTTTTTGTTTTCAGGTTTTGTTTTGTTTTTAAATATTGTTATTTATATTTTTACTAATAAGGCTTGGAAGATTCTTAACACTAGGGATGTAAATGATTAACTGGTTCAACAGTAAGCACTTACCGGTTCCACTTAAGAATAGCTCCCTATACCTCCCCCAGGCAGAGGACTACTCCAGCCTCGCAGCCAGAGCAATCCCTGTCCGTGCAGGGACCTGATCGGCTGTCCCCTCTACCCCCCTGCAGGTTAAATGCCAGCCCTACTCCCAGGGAGACTTTGCTGCTGGCTCTGCAGTATAAAGCTTAACTAATATAAAGCTTTATATTGCAGGGCCTGCAGCACGGGTAACTGCTAGGATTTTTAGTGGTTGTATGGCTATATTTTTAATTGCCTTTTTACACCCCCTACTTAGCACATCTACTCCTAAGGATTTGTATTTTTGGGTCTATCATAAATGAATAACAGTGTTCCTATAAATGTAATAATATTTATAAGCTTGGGGGGGAAAACTACAAGAAAAAATGTGTTTGTCTAGAAAAGGATCAGCTCAAAATAACCTTTAAATTATGTTGATCTAAATAGAGTGAATCTTGAAAGTTCAAAAATAGTGCTGATTTGACAGCTCTGAAAACTGAAATACCTCTATACTTATGAAAGCACAGGTAATGACAATTCAAAGTCTCTACCCAACATTCTGCTAGCATGCCTTAACCCTGAATGAGAAGGATGTCCTCTAAGTTTAAGGAGTAGTGACCTTCCTCCAGTGTTCCTTCTAAGATTTTCCATCCATGAGCAGAATGAGTTTTGTTTTGCGCACCAATATTGAGGTCATGTGCGCTTGTTCGGAAGTATGTCACAAGATTTTCCATCCATGAGCAGAATGAGTTTTGTTTTGCGCACCAATATTGAGGTCATGTGCGCTTGTTCGGATGTATGTCACTGTGGTACCCAAATTATTAACAAATACCATATATATTTTTTAAAATGTTATGGAAGAAAGAATACTAAAACAAGGGACAGGTATAGATAGAGAGATAGGATAGTCCAGCCCCCAAAATATGCTAGCACTTGTTATTCATTAAAATGAGCTAATTTTGATATTTATTTCTCTGCCTCCTCTTTAATAAAGAACACTGTAAACTTTCCTGTGCTTTTTTGTTTTGCTCATGTTGACAATTTAGCAAAGCTCAGGGGTTATTCATTTTTAATTTGACTATAAATGGTCATGGAGCAAAATCAGTTCCCAGAATCCAAGATTGAAAGATGTTTTGAATCTGTTACTGGATAACATTCCCAAGAGAGTTGCATTGAGAGAGATGACAAGTTCTCTCTGTCTAGCATCATTAAAAGTTACCCGCGTGCCAATAAATTAATTGAGCCACTGTATCTCTAATTTAAATGAAAATTGTGGCAATGGGTTAACTGCACTCATGGGAACCAACTTGCTGGACTCCTAAGCAAGGTGGAGGAGTGGGGGTGCAAGCAGAAGGGATGGGACAGCCAGCCCTCAGTGTTGCCCAGATTGCACCATGCGGCACTCTAGTAGTGATTTACAGAGCCTGGGTTTCCAGCCGTCACTACTGCCACAATAATAGCAGCAGTGGCTGGGAGCCCCAGCCCTTTTGAATTACTTGGCCCAGGGCATTTGTCTCCTTTGTCCCCCACCCCGTCAGCAGGTGAACTTGTACATTAATAGGAATAATCTGAAAAGGACTCAAGATAATTTTTTTAACTAACTCCATGGCAAGTCAATTTGGTTTATGCTCCCACATTTTTATGTGCTTTTAAAAATTCCCCCTTCAAATGTTCCATCCAAGTGTGGACCTCTGGAGTGAACCAGATGAGTTTCAGAGAGGAATCAAATCAATGAACAATAAAAGTGATGCCATGTCAGTGTCTGACTAAAATCATTTTACTATAATATTTTCCCATTGTTAATTGCCTTTCCTCTTATTTCCAGTTCAATTTCATGGAGTTTTGAAGTAAAAGACCAATCAAGCCAGATTCTGCTATAAAAGAGAATAAATAAATAACACAAGTAATATTCAAATTAAATAAAGTAATGACCAAGTAAAATGACAAGCATGATACAAAACAATGACTGACACAATATCAAACAGAAAGGAAGAAACAGAAAAAAAACCCTAAAAGAAAAGAATCTGGAGGAAAACTTTGCTTTCATTTACAGGACAGACTTCAATGCAGGAGTCTGTGCAATTCCAAAGGGCCTGAATTAGACCTCAGATGAACACATTAGTTGACCCGTCTGGGCACAAAAGAATTCCTTTCTAGAAGATCACCTCTCATATACTCCCCCCTCCCGTCCGTCTATACACAAATTACAGATTACAGATCAAGTTCTATTGACAATTCCCCCACCTTTGAGATAAGGCTAAAGTATATGAATGAGTCCTAGTCCTACAAATCCAAAGCATGGAAACATATTTACTACAGCTGGAGGAGCCGCCTGCCACCCACCACAGGGCTCTTTCAGCCCACCATGCAGTTCCTTCAGATCCAGCACCAGGAGCAGCCATCAGCAGCCCCAGCCCCAGCAACATTGCTCTAGCTCTGACCCTGACCCCAGCTAGGGCCTCCAGAACTGCTGCTGCCATCTGCAACACAGCTCCAGTTCTAGCCCTGGCTAGGGCTACCAGAGCAGCCACCAACCACCACACAGCGAGGGCCAGAGCCATACAGTGACTGCCCTGCTGCTCCTGGAGTGGGGCAGCTGCCTGCGATTTGGCCCCATCCCAGAGCTGCCACTGTGCAGCTCTGCTTAGGAGGTGGGTGGGTCTCAAATTCTTGGTGTGCACCACACTAGGCGCGCACCTTAAAGGGAACACTGCCTTTCTCTCAGCCTCTTTACACAGACTGCCAATTGCACTCGCTTATTCACTGAAACCTAAATTAAGACTCCGTAGATCAAACAACTTTCAGTTAATTTTCAAACTGGATAACATTTAACCCTTTAAAAAGAGAGACCAAAGGCTCCAAAATCCATTACTACCACTATTATGACTTGAATTTCAATACTGTATAGATGATACCTGAAAGCGTAACAATTCCTTTGGGTTGAGGTTGAAGCCGCAAATATTTGTTACAGAAGGAAGCAGATTCCAGAGCCAAGAACAACACATTTCCCAAGAAATAACCTGCTGTTTGGCCAACAGAGTTACATGTGGAAGCATAGCCCACATTCTCCCGGGACAACATAGTCAGTGCCCAGCCATCCACTGCAATGTCCTGTGTGGCAGCCAGGAACTCAAACAAAAAAAAAGTCACAGTGAGGGCCACCACATCAGGACTCTTGCCCTCCACATCTCCTAACAAGAAGTCTACCTGCGTGGACAAGTACATCATAAAAAAACCCAAGATGTATTGAGTGGGCACAAGCCAGGACTTGCGACGGCCAAAGCTCTTAAAGTAGACTGCATCCACCAATGGGGCCCAGAGCAGCTTGAGACTGAAAGGCCAAAAGACAAAGCTGAAAAAAGCCTGGTCCGTATAGCTGACATTCTTGCTCTGCAAGATGAGTGGGATGCTGCCTGCCAGCCCCAGCGGGATTCCCTGTAGCACATATAGAAAAAGGAGGAGCAGGATACTACCCAGTTCTGCCCGATATCCTCGGGGTACCACACAGGATGGTGAGTTAAGTTCCTGGAGCAATGCCTCTGTGTCTTCGTCTCCTAGTCTCTCAGTGTGATTATCCATGTCTACAGTTGGTGGTGGGGGCTTGATCTCCATGTCCATGGAGTGGTGGTAGCCGCCAGGCCGGCGCTGCCGGCTGCTGTCCTTGTAAGAGATGGTTGGACTCATGTCGCACACAAAGTCCAGGATTGTTTGGGATGTGAGGTCCACTGGTCCCCAGCAATCTTACAGTGGCGAAGTGCAGCTCCTGCCACTGCCGGTCACTCAGGACGCAAGTTCCTGGCTCTGCCAACTGCGGAGCAGCGCGGGAGGGAGCTATGCCAGTTCAAGGGAGGGCTCTGCTCAGCTTTCCTTACCGCAGAGCAGGGGGTTCATTGCCCTCTGCTCGCCAGGCTCGGGG